GCCCTCAAGAGATATTTCCCCCAGGACGTTGGCAGGTTCAACAACCGCGTCGTGCATGTTTTCATGATTTCCCCGTCACCATTCATTGAATGCACATCTGGGGCCTGACACGCTGACCTTGGGGCTATTTTTTCACCAATTTAGCTTATCAATGATCACCATTAGTCGCTGTTTCGATTGTGTTCCTTGTTACAAGTTGCATGTCATACATGGTTGTCGAACGACGAGTTTTATTTTGAATCCTAAGACAAAATTGTAGGTAATGCGAGGCTGTTGTTCAGCCTCATATTGCATGAGGCTGAAACAGCCTATTATTGCCTGGATTTTAGAGTGTCAGTTAGAACAGGAGGGGGGGGAGGTCGTACTCACACCGCCATTTCGCACATCCCCATGCTGTACCCTGATCCGGGGTCGTATTCCAGTAGTCATGTGTACCCGATACGCCTATTCAATTATCATGCTCACTGTCTCAAAAGGCAGATGGCACGGCAAATCTTCAAGACGTGCTGGATTAATGTGCCTTGCAGGACGGAATTTCACGACCCTGAGCAGGCGCTGTGGCGCCTTTCCCACTGAAGGCACCCTTACAGCGCCCTATCAGGCTGCAACATACCGACCTGACGTACACCACGCCCGCCTACAAATGTCCGACCGATCTGGCGCTCGTATCGCTTCATTTGCGAAGTACAATATAAGGCGAAGGTATTGCCATGAAGCGGCCGCGGTGCTGCATGGATAGATCAGTACATACACTCCTTATCCCTGAGAAAAATAGGCATGGCCTTCAAACATGGCATAGAGTGGGTTACTCATGGAATATTTCATTTTCAGTCAACTGTCATCTTGTTCTATGTTGGACAAAGACATGATTATAACTGTCCCACAATCGAATATCTCACGGCCACTTTCAGTCAAGTACGCAGTCACGCCTACCACATCTCACGGATTCTGAGTGTACATGCACCCCATCTACCGTAGCGGTGATTGGCAGGATACCAAAGGCGAACTCGTCCGATATAGCTTTCTGAGTCGTACAAAAGTTTTTTCTGCAGGTTTTTGACCGTTTCACTTCGCTTTTTCGCCATTTTCTCACTATTTAGCATCCTGCTACCATGAGACAGAGTAGCAAATTATCGTGCCAACTGCCTCTAAAGATAAATTGTAAGCAGAGCTCTGAAGACGATCTTTGCCATCAATGCGAGAAGAATGTGTAGGGTCTGTTCCAGTATGACACTTTCGTTACCATGAAGCTGAAAGGTAGTGCTACCCGGGTGCCATCTCTGGACTCCACCCTGAAGATGTTGCACTTGTGTCGACACCAGAATTCCACGGGCAACACGTGATCAGAGCAAGAGAACAGCCATGAGTAAGAAGGCGTTCACAAGTAGCGCGTTTGGCTATGGCTAGGCTTCTGACCGGCCGTGCGGCAGCTCGGGCACACTCCAAAGACGGTGTCATCACCCTCCAGCCCGTTCCCGTGCACTTTTGAGCGGAGAAAAAGGATCAGTGTGAGTGCGTGGTCCTTA